ACAACATCTACAATAACCGAAACTACTGATCCTACAGTTGAAACTGCAACTACAACATCTACAATAACCGAAACTACTGATCCTACAGTTGCAACTGCAACTACAACATCTACAATAACCGAAACTACTGATCCTACAGTTGAAACTGCAACTACAACATCTACAATAACCGAAACTTCTGATCCTACAGTTGCAACTGCAACATCCGCAAATGCAGAGACCACTGATTCTATTGTTACAACTGCCATATCCACAGGTACTGAAGCCACTGACTCTACAGTCACAACCGTTGCATCAACGGAATTACAAGAAACAACAGAATTATATTCTGATTACAGTGAAGAGAATGTTGGAGAAGCTACTGTAGCTGAAGATGAATTCCAAAGTGATATATCAGAAGCAAGCACTACTTCTGAAACAGATTCCTCTGTTGAGCCAGAGCTATCAGCTGAGCCCGAGCCTTCAGCTGAGCCCGAGCCTTCAGCTGAGCCCGAACCATCAGCTGAGCCCGAGCCATCAGCTGAGCCCGAACCATCAGCTGAACCCGAACCATCAGCTGAGCCCGAGCCATCAGCTGAACCGGAGCCCTCACCTGAACCTGAGCTAAGTCCAAACGAAAAATTGAAGAGAGATGCGGATATGGCGGTAAGCAATATATAATTATAGATATTCATTTAAAATATATTATAAATTTATTTAAAATAATAACTTTACTTTTCGATACAGATAAAAGTTTTATATATAAATACATTGAAAAACCGCATGGATAAAACTAGCGTAAGTAACGAAATTATTACAAAAGTTGCTTCTAGCCCTTGGTATAATTATATTAATTAAATTATCAATAATTTATTATTTAACAACAACAAATCATTACACCTGTCTACAATAATGATGCTTACTGCCCATACAGTTACAGCGGTGTTTTCATTTTTATATTGTATAGCTTTAGGCATAGTTTTAAGTTTACCTTTATCTTGTATAATTTTAATATACCATTACCTTTAGTTAATACCAACTGATGAGGGAATATTTTCTTTCGGAAAATAGTCCGAAATGCATTTTGAGCTTTTTGTTTCCATAATTATGTAGTCATTTTTGTGTTTATTAAACGTTGATCCCTGAGCGTTTGTGCCCATCATTGGTCTGATAAACCCTCACTATTATCTGCCTCACGGTTATTGATAATTTAATTAATATAATGTAAGTAATTTATCAGAGCTATCTACATGATATATTAAATACATACTAACATTTATATTTTTATTATTTAAAATACTAAACTCATGACTGTCGATTTTAAATTTATTCTCATCTCATATTTTTATTCAAAATATTGTTTAATAAATAAAATAACACTCTATTTCTAATCACTAAGAAACCTTCTGGGTGTGAGAAGGGCTTAGTCCTCCCAGTTATCCCTCTGTAGAACGAAAGAGAATCCTATTTTGTAGAGTGTGAATGCTATCAAGGATCTCTTGACCTTTGATAGGATTAATCTATCGAGGATATGTTTCAAACCATACACTTGACAAAGTATGGAACCTTATCACCCTTACTGATTTCGGCCTTATATTATTATTATTGCATTTTTGTGTTTAACTTGCAAGAATTATTTCTGTTTTAATCGCAGAAAAGAATTTTATTTTAGGTACAATATAAATTTCGCAGAATAAAAAACAAATCAAGAAGTGAAGCTGAAACATTTGAAAAAATGACAAATATTATGTGCTCCAGTTCATCTGAGTTGTGGGAACAAAAACGAGCGATGAGAAATGTATTTATTATTCGTATTTAATTAAGTTTTATTCACAATAATTTATTTTTTTTCAGTTAGTTTAAAATTATTCATTTTATGAAGATATTGAATGCATTCTAATTAATTTATTTCAGACACTTCAAAGAAATTTTAAGAAACTTTGTGATTGCGTACGACGAACCTCTTCTAATCGATTCCGTCATTATCCTTAGAAATATCTGTACAAAAGTTTTTAATATAAAATATAAAATTTAATTGTTAAGATAAACATTATATTGTTTCAAATTTCTGATTTATTAAAAATTTAATAAAATATATATATTTTTCAAATTAAAATTGTATTTCAAAAATCTATATATTAGTCTATATAGCCTATATTAGTTGCATAAATTTCCCAGCCAAACTTTAAAATTGTTTGACACCATCTGTTATATTTTATTAGAAAATGTTTATATTATTAATTATTATAAAACGGCAAAAAAGTTTAATTTTTTAGGGTATGGCATTTATAAGTTTTATAAAAACTTATAAATTCTAGTAAGTAAAATTGTCATTAAGTCCGTCCCCCTCGAAATAGGACATGTTTCCTCTCTCTATCTCCCCACCCCGTTGACCTTTAACCACAAAAATTTAATAGCATCAATCTCCTTAATACACAAATCTCCCTGCAACAGTTCAGAAATTTTCGACAAAAGGCGCAGGAGTTATTAAGCTTCAAACAGGGTGTGCCCTAAACACACTAATATCCATGTAAACACAGAATCAGTCGAGATGTTAAATTATAGAAAAGCACGTTGTTTCACGTGTGTAGAAATTTTCCATCGGTAGCAACATTTAATACGGCGGGTGTGGCGCCATCTTTTAGGATATATTATTATTATTATTATTTAAAATTTTATATTTTTTAACTATTATAAAGTGGCAAAAGGCTTAATTTTGTGAGAAAGGATGTTTTATAAAAAAATTGTAAATGCTAATAACGAGTAAAATCCGTCATTAACTCCGATCCTACAAGAGATACACACGACCTCCATTATCTCACCATCTCCTCGACCTTTAACCACCAAAATTTAATATCGTCAACCCGTCTAATAAACAAAACTCCTTGCAAAATATCACAAACTTTCGGAAAACAGCACTGGAGTTATTAAGCTTCAACTAGGTGAACAAAATCGTGACATCCCCCCCACACACATACTAAATATCCATACATACATACATACAAAAATTACCCCCGATTTTTTTTTCTTTTTTTTTGCATTTTTCGACGACTTAAAGTAAAATGTAAAAACTTTGGGTGGGGGTCAAGTTTTCACCGATTGCCATACTTTCCTTCATATATAACAGAGCAGGAAAAGTAAAAACGTTCGTTATTATTTTAGAACACCTGACGATTGTTAAATAAGGAACAGGAATATAAAGTATATTTGTTCATTTGTTTTTACTTTAATTTCATACATGAAGAAAGACTTAGTCACTATGAAATATTATTACATTAAAATAAGCATGAAAATTCTCGTTATTTTTCTATTACTTCTCATTTGTAAGTTTAAACTATTAAATTAAGTTTTAGTGATATTTTAAACATAAATACTAAACGTTACTTATTAGAAATAATTCAATTTTAAATCTAATTTATTTATTTTCGTAGCCGCAGTTGTTTTCGGAGATTCTGAAGATACTCCAATAACTGAGGCCCCTGTTACAACTGCTACTGAAGACACGGTTGGATCAATGCCCGATGAAACCGTTGAGGGCCATTCGACATCAACAGCTACAGAATCCACTAACAATCCAACTGTTACTAGCACAGCTTCAACGCAATTACAAACAAAATCAACAAAACCCGAGACAAATAATGATAAATTTCAAATAGATGCATTTATTACGGTAAGAGTTATTTGTAAAAGGCAAGGTTTAATTAAATTTGTGATAATTCATTTCTTTAACTATCGAAGGATTATTAAGATTTTTATATTTATTATTTTATAAAATAGATGAAAGTGATATATTTAGAAATGTTGAAACAATTTTTGAATAATGACGTTTGGGTGAGTTTATTCTCTATAACTTTTTCTACAATATTCTATTATAAATTATAAATATTCTTCGTAATTAATTTTAGAATTATAAAATGAATATAATCTGCATATTTTAAACTTAAAACTAATATATATAAATTTACATATAGATCTTGAAATAATGTATATTTCTAACCATTAAAATTCAGTTAAAAAAATTATTTTAAAAGTACATAAAACTAAATCATAATAATTTACAATATAATAATAGAAATGTGATTTAATTAGAAATTTATTTTATATTGATTCTTTTAACGACAGTTAAATTTATTCTTAATGTTATTCTTTCAACCTGTGAGTTCTGAAAGGGTTTTTAATCATACACAACGTAAGTTCGGCCAGGCTCAGATCGTAGGAACCGAGTGATGAGGGATGGGGACCGAGTGTCTAAAACAGATCCTTGATGAAAAATTGTTAGGTAGTAGTTCACCCTGACCGATTCCGAGCCCCCCCCAGAGTGTAGGCTATCCCTTAATCGCCAAATGATAGGCTAACCACTTCGTTCATCCGGCGGTTATTTTACATACAGTATTTATAAAGTAATTTTTAAAAATATCAAGGGAAATACCAAACGATAAAAATAACATTTTTAATAAATGTAATCTTAACATTTCTAAAATATTAGAAATAAGAATGATTTGGTTGATAGGATACTGAAATACAACACGTGATATATCAACGGGGCGCCCCGAAAGGACTCCCATTTAGGTGCTAGACACGTAAGCAAGGGCCAGTTCGAAAACCAGGAGAAGTTTGTATATTTAGTTTATTAGTGAACCTCGAACTCATAATCATGTATCAGTGTTTGGTGCTTTTATCCTCTTTGCCACTGTTGGCACAGAATGTGGAATGCAAAGGAAAGAAAATCTATATAGTGTGGTTTTACTTTTTAGTTTCATCATTTATAATGAATATTCTAGATTTAATAGTCGCTATTATTGTCTTTACCACGTCTACTTATAAATAGGCCTACTTTTTTATTGTAATAAAAAGATGAATTTTCTTTTAGGTAAAGTATGAAGTTCGTCAAAAAAATAAAACAAAAACGTTTGAAAAAATAAGTAATGCTATATGCTATGAATCTTCGAAAATACACTGGGCAAGAATGACGTTAGATTACAAGACACACAATGTAAGTTTTAACCAAGAGCACTCCCAGGTAGGAGCCACGAAGGGCAGTTGCCCTCCTGAAATTGTTTTAATCTCTTTTTATTTTTTATTTTTTAAGTAAACATTTTAATAAACAAACGTATATTATAAGAATAAAGTCTTCACTAAAGGAATGCAGTCCGCGAGCGACTTGATAGTCTAGCTAACTCAATTTAAATCCCTATGCCATTGGAAGATTTCATGTCTTTTACAGTAGTGTAATTAGAATTTTCGCTTGTTTTTCATATTTCCTTATTTTTCACTCTTGTGAAAATAAAGGTAATATAAGCAGTGCCGGATTAAGCCTGATTTTTTTAAAGACGGATATTATTATAGTTATTAATATTAAAAAAATTAAATTTTTCGTTTTCAGATTTTTGTTTCAGAAAGTTGGTCAACAATATCTACACAATCTAGCCATTCGAGAGTATCTTTTTCTATAGTAACCTTAGCCTTTCCCGTCCTATTGAATTTCTTAAATAATTTTTAATTTTTAAAACAGAGAAAGATCTCCCTGTTGCATTACTTAAAGGCATAGTTAATAACGTTAGATTACAAGACGCACAATTTTTCTGTGAAACTCTGTATTGTCTGTTAAGCCAGTATAATAAGTCCTGATAATAGTGAATGCTTGTTTATAGACGAAAATTTATAATTTATTTTTATTTCACTTCTATAATCCGATCCATTCTTCAAATCTTCAAATTCTGTATAAAATACTTGAAGTGTTTTGTTGATTTCGCGATATTTTTTGTATTTCGTATGAATTTGGCTACAAATTTGGTCACGAATAACAAAGAATGTTTTTATTTTAAAATCTGCTTGACTAGTTAAATTGATATCTTCATCTGTTTGGTTTTCATCAAAAATTCGTTTACCTTTCCTAGGTATTTCTTGAGTATTAGCGTCCAATTTCATGTGGAATAGGCACTATCCATAAATTACGTCCGCATTTTTCTTGAAATTTTTAGTTCCCCTCCCCCAGTTTGTCCAAGTTTCCGTTACCTCCGCCCCACTTCGGATGTCCAACAAAACTCAATTCCCCTTAAAATTCTTATCACATTATGAATAATAAAATGTATAAATAGTGTAAAATTTAATGAAATAAAACGGACGTTCATTGAGGTTCAATTTCTTCCCTCCTTGTCCGACTTTGTCCGACTTGTCATAACCCCTCCCTCCCTCCAGTATGGATGTCATTTATGCACAGCCCCATATTCCTAATGCCTCATTTTCAGTTTTATTGTATTCACCTTTTAAATCATGTATGCATTATGATAAACTTTGTAGCAAACTTATCCAAACAAAAACATCCGAGATGTAAAAAAAATTACGCCAAGTGAGAATTTATGACAATTTACATGACAGTCAAAATTTTTCTTATGAGTTTTTCTTTGGTAAAGATAAGCTTGGCGCTTGGAGGCGAAATGTAGAAAACAATAATACAGATAGAAATCTTGTGGGTACCGCTTTCAAGCGCATCAGGGATGAAAGCAAGACAGAAAACACGACCATTTCCAGCACTATAAATCCAAACAGTGAACCTTCGGAGGAACTTAGAAAGTTTGATATATACTCTTACCATAAGAATTTGTATACTTCAGCAGGGTTTAACCAATATTCCACAGAAACATCTTGTGGTTTTCAGTAACTGCAATTGCCAAATGNCGTTTTTAACGCCGTTTACTGGAGATCGCGTGCATAACCAAAATGGTTACAATCAGCTTTAAAAATATCTCATTGAGGTATGTCGTGAATATTCTTAACACCCAACGTGCCTACATAAGCCTACTATTTTTATGTAAGAACACTAGCAAGTCAGCATAATTTTAACATAGGATGACTGATTTTATGAAAAAAATATTTGAAATTTAAATAATGCTCCATTACTGTATTGGATCATTAAAATGCAACTGATGGTCTGAGACAAGGAAAACGGATATAAATTTGTTCACCTGTTGTAAACTACGTGTTCTCTTTAATAAATGTAACATTGAAGTAAAAAGCAACAGCAGAACTAGACGCAACAAATTTTACCATTTAGAATCGGGAGCTTGTGAAACCATAATCATTCATATAGTCTATTAATTATTTATTATAAATGAGTCTGATGTTATATCTATTCGTTACCTTTATAGTTAGTATTATTGCAGGAGAAAGTGAAGATGGTTGGCAAAACAACGAGACGAATGTGGACATGAATGACGATTATGTTACTCCAACTTCTGAAACTACTGATCCTACAGTTGCAACTGCAACTACAACATCTACAATAACCGAAACTACTGATCCTACAGTTGCAACTGCAACTACAACATCTACAATAACCGAAACTACTGATCCTACAGTTGAAACTGCAACTACAACATCTACAATAACCGAAACTTCTGATCCTACAGTTGCAACTGCAACATCCGCAAATGCAGAGACCACTGATTCTATTGTTACAACTGCCATATCCACAGGTACTGAAGCCACTGACTCTACAGTCACAACCGTTGCATCAACGGAATTACAAGAAACAACAGAATTATATTCTGATTACAGTGAAGAGAATGTTGGAGAAGCTACTGTAGCTGAAGATGAATTCCAAAGTGATATATCAGAAGCAAGCACTACTTCTGAAACAGATTCCTCTGTTGAGCCAGAGCTATCAGCTGAGCCCGAGCCTTCAGCTGAGCCCGAACCATCAGCTGAGCCCGAGCCATCAGCTGAGCCCGAACCATCAGCTGAACCCGAACCATCAGCTGAGCCCGAGCCATCAGCTGAACCGGAGCCCTCACCTGAACCTGAGCTAAGTCCAAACGAAAAATTGAAGAGAGATGCGGATATGGCGGTAAGCAATATATAATTATAGATATTCATTTAAAATATATTATAAATTTATTTAAAATAATAACTTTACTTTTCGATACAGATAAAAGTTTTATATATAAATACATTGAAAAACCGCATGGATAAAACTAGCGTAAGTAACGAAATTATTACAAAAGTTGCTTCTAGCCCTTGGTATAATTATATTAATTAAATTATCAATAATTTATTATTTAACAACAACAAATCATTACACCTGTCTACAATAATGATGCTTACTGCCCATACAGTTACAGCGGTGTTTTCATTTTTATATTGTATAGCTTTAGGCATAGTTTTAAGTTTACCTTTATCTTGTATAATTTTAATATACCATTACCTTTAGTTAATACCAACTGATGAGGGAATATTTTCTTTCGGAAAATAGTCCGAAATGCATTTTGAGCTTTTTGTTTCCATAATTATGTAGTCATTTTTGTGTTTATTAAACGTTGATCCCTGAGCGTTTGTGCCCATCATTGGTCTGATAAACCCTCACTATTATCTGCCTCACGGTTATTGATAATTTAATTAATATAATGTAAGTAATTTATCAGAGCTATCTACATGATATATTAAATACATACTAACATTTATATTTTTATTATTTAAAATACTAAACTCATGACTGTCGATTTTAAATTTATTCTCATCTCATATTTTTATTCAAAATATTGTTTAATAAATAAAATAACACTCTATTTCTAATCACTAAGAAACCTTCTGGGTGTGAGAAGGGCTTAGTCCTCCCAGTTATCCCTCTGTAGAACGAAAGAGAATCCTATTTTGTAGAGTGTGAATGCTATCAAGGATCTCTTGACCTTTGATAGGATTAATCTATCGAGGATATGTTTCAAACCATACACTTGACAAAGTATGGAACCTTATCACCCTTACTGATTTCGGCCTTATATTATTATTATTGCATTTTTGTGTTTAACTTGCAAGAATTATTTCTGTTTTAATCGCAGAAAAGAATTTTATTTTAGGTACAATATAAATTTCGCAGAATAAAAAACAAATCAAGAAGTGAAGCTGAAACATTTGAAAAAATGACAAATATTATGTGCTCCAGTTCATCTGAGTTGTGGGAACAAAAACGAGCGATGAGAAATGTATTTATTATTCGTATTTAATTAAGTTTTATTCACAATAATTTATTTTTTTTCAGTTAGTTTAAAATTATTCATTTTATGAAGATATTGAATGCATTCTAATTAATTTATTTCAGACACTTCAAAGAAATTTTAAGAAACTTTGTGATTGCGTACGACGAACCTCTTCTAATCGATTCCGTCATTATCCTTAGAAATATCTGTACAAAAGTTTTTAATATAAAATATAAAATTTAATTGTTAAGATAAACATTATATTGTTTCAAATTTCTGATTTATTAAAAATTTAATAAAATATATATATTTTTCAAATTAAAATTGTATTTCAAAAATCTATATATTAGTCTATATAGCCTATATTAGTTGCATAAATTTCCCAGCCAAACTTTAAAATTGTTTGACACCATCTGTTATATTTTATTAGAAAATGTTTATATTATTAATTATTATAAAACGGCAAAAAAGTTTAATTTTTTAGGGTATGGCATTTATAAGTTTTATAAAAACTTATAAATTCTAGTAAGTAAAATTGTCATTAAGTCCGTCCCCCTCGAAATAGGACATGTTTCCTCTCTCTATCTCCCCACCCCGTTGACCTTTAACCACAAAAATTTAATAGCATCAATCTCCTTAATACACAAATCTCCCTGCAACAGTTCAGAAATTTTCGACAAAAGGCGCAGGAGTTATTAAGCTTCAAACAGGGTGTGCCCTAAACACACTAATATCCATGTAAACACAGAATCAGTCGAGATGTTAAATTATAGAAAAGCACGTTGTTTCACGTGTGTAGAAATTTTCCATCGGTAGCAACATTTAATACGGCGGGTGTGGCGCCATCTTTTAGGATATATTATTATTATTATTATTTAAAATTTTATATTTTTTAACTATTATAAAGTGGCAAAAGGCTTAATTTTGTGAGAAAGGATGTTTTATAAAAAAATTGTAAATGCTAATAACGAGTAAAATCCGTCATTAACTCCGATCCTACAAGAGATACACACGACCTCCATTATCTCACCATCTCCTCGACCTTTAACCACCAAAATTTAATATCGTCAACCCGTCTAATAAACAAAACTCCTTGCAAAATATCACAAACTTTCGGAAAACAGCACTGGAGTTATTAAGCTTCAACTAGGTGAACAAAATCGTGACATCCCCCCCACACACATACTAAATATCCATACATACATACATACAAAAATTACCCCCGATTTTTTTTTCTTTTTTTTTGCATTTTTCGACGACTTAAAGTAAAATGTAAAAACTTTGGGTGGGGGTCAAGTTTTCACCGATTGCCATACTTTCCTTCATATATAACAGAGCAGGAAAAGTAAAAACGTTCGTTATTATTTTAGAACACCTGACGATTGTTAAATAAGGAACAGGAATATAAAGTATATTTGTTCATTTGTTTTTACTTTAATTTCATACATGAAGAAAGACTTAGTCACTATGAAATATTATTACATTAAAATAAGCATGAAAATTCTCGTTATTTTTCTATTACTTCTCATTTGTAAGTTTAAACTATTAAATTAAGTTTTAGTGATATTTTAAACATAAATACTAAACGTTACTTATTAGAAATAATTCAATTTTAAATCTAATTTATTTATTTTCGTAGCCGCAGTTGTTTTCGGAGATTCTGAAGATACTCCAATAACTGAGGCCCCTGTTACAACTGCTACTGAAGACACGGTTGGATCAATGCCCGATGAAACCGTTGAGGGCCATTCGACATCAACAGCTACAGAATCCACTAACAATCCAACTGTTACTAGCACAGCTTCAACGCAATTACAAACAAAATCAACAAAACCCGAGACAAATAATGATAAATTTCAAATAGATGCATTTATTACGGTAAGAGTTATTTGTAAAAGGCAAGGTTTAATTAAATTTGTGATAATTCATTTCTTTAACTATCGAAGGATTATTAAGATTTTTATATTTATTATTTTATAAAATAGATGAAAGTGATATATTTAGAAATGTTGAAACAATTTTTGAATAATGACGTTTGGGTGAGTTTATTCTCTATAACTTTTTCTACAATATTCTATTATAAATTATAAATATTCTTCGTAATTAATTTTAGAATTATAAAATGAATATAATCTGCATATTTTAAACTTAAAACTAATATATATAAATTTACATATAGATCTTGAAATAATGTATATTTCTAACCATTAAAATTCAGTTAAAAAAATTATTTTAAAAGTACATAAAACTAAATCATAATAATTTACAATATAATAATAGAAATGTGATTTAATTAGAAATTTATTTTATATTGATTCTTTTAACGACAGTTAAATTTATTCTTAATGTTATTCTTTCAACCTGTGAGTTCTGAAAGGGTTTTTAATCATACACAACGTAAGTTCGGCCAGGCTCAGATCGTAGGAACCGAGTGATGAGGGATGGGGACCGAGTGTCTAAAACAGATCCTTGATGAAAAATTGTTAGGTAGTAGTTCACCCTGACCGATTCCGAGCCCCCCCCAGAGTGTAGGCTATCCCTTAATCGCCAAATGATAGGCTAACCACTTCGTTCATCCGGCGGTTATTTTACATACAGTATTTATAAAGTAATTTTTAAAAATATCAAGGGAAATACCAAACGATAAAAATAACATTTTTAATAAATGTAATCTTAACATTTCTAAAATATTAGAAATAAGAATGATTTGGTTGATAGGATACTGAAATACAACACGTGATATATCAACGGGGCGCCCCGAAAGGACTCCCATTTAGGTGCTAGACACGTAAGCAAGGGCCAGTTCGAAAACCAGGAGAAGTTTGTATATTTAGTTTATTAGTGAACCTCGAACTCATAATCATGTATCAGTGTTTGGTGCTTTTATCCTCTTTGCCACTGTTGGCACAGAATGTGGAATGCAAAGGAAAGAAAATCTATATAGTGTGGTTTTACTTTTTAGTTTCATCATTTATAATGAATATTCTAGATTTAATAGTCGCTATTATTGTCTTTACCACGTCTACTTATAAATAGGCCTACTTTTTTATTGTAATAAAAAGATGAATTTTCTTTTAGGTAAAGTATGAAGTTCGTCAAAAAAATAAAACAAAAACGTTTGAAAAAATAAGTAATGCTATATGCTATGAATCTTCGAAAATACACTGGGCAAGAATGACGTTAGATTACAAGACACACAATGTAAGTTTTAACCAAGAGCACTCCCAGGTAGGAGCCACGAAGGGCAGTTGCCCTCCTGAAATTGTTTTAATCTCTTTTTATTTTTTATTTTTTAAGTAAACATTTTAATAAACAAACGTATATTATAAGAATAAAGTCTTCACTAAAGGAATGCAGTCCGCGAGCGACTTGATAGTCTAGCTAACTCAATTTAAATCCCTATGCCATTGGAAGATTTCATGTCTTTTACAGTAGTGTAATTAGAATTTTCGCTTGTTTTTCATATTTCCTTATTTTTCACTCTTGTGAAAATAAAGGTAATATAAGCAGTGCCGGATTAAGCCTGATTTTTTTAAAGACGGATATTATTATAGTTATTAATATTAAAAAAATTAAATTTTTCGTTTTCAGATTTTTGTTTCAGAAAGTTGGTCAACAATATCTACACAATCTAGCCATTCGAGAGTATCTTTTTCTATAGTAACCTTAGCCTTTCCCGTCCTATTGAATTTCTTAAATAATTTTTAATTTTTAAAACAGAGAAAGATCTCCCTGTTGCATTACTTAAAGGCATAGTTAATAACGTTAGATTACAAGACGCACAATTTTTCTGTGAAACTCTGTATTGTCTGTTAAGCCAGTATAATAAGTCCTGATAATAGTGAATGCTTGTTTATAGACGAAAATTTATAATTTATTTTTATTTCACTTCTATAATCCGATCCATTCTTCAAATCTTCAAATTCTGTATAAAATACTTGAAGTGTTTTGTTGATTTCGCGATATTTTTTGTATTTCGTATGAATTTGGCTACAAATTTGGTCACGAATAACAAAGAATGTTTTTATTTTAAAATCTGCTTGACTAGTTAAATTGATATCTTCATCTGTTTGGTTTTCATCAAAAATTCGTTTACCTTTCCTAGGTATTTCTTGAGTATTAGCGTCCAATTTCATGTGGAATAGGCACTATCCATAAATTACGTCCGCATTTTTCTTGAAATTTTTAGTTCCCCTCCCCCAGTTTGTCCAAGTTTCCGTTACCTCCGCCCCACTTCGGATGTCCAACAAAACTCAATTCCCCTTAAAATTCTTATCACATTATGAATAATAAAATGTATAAATAGTGTAAAATTTAATGAAATAAAACGGACGTTCATTGAGGTTCAATTTCTTCCCTCCTTGTCCGACTTTGTCCGACTTGTCATAACCCCTCCCTCCCTCCAGTATGGATGTCATTTATGCACAGCCCCATATTCCTAATGCCTCATTTTCAGTTTTATTGTATTCACCTTTTAAATCATGTATGCATTATGATAAACTTTGTAGCAAACTTATCCAAACAAAAACATCCGAGATGTAAAAAAAATTACGCCAAGTGAGAATTTATGACAATTTACATGACAGTCAAAATTTTTCTTATGAGTTTTTCTTTGGTAAAGATAAGCTTGGCGCTTGGAGGCGAAATGTAGAAAACAATAATACAGATAGAAATCTTGTGGGTACCGCTTTCAAGCGCATCAGGGATGAAAGCAAGACAGAAAACACGACCATTTCCAGCACTATAAATCCAAACAGTGAACCTTCGGAGGAACTTAGAAAGTTTGATATATACTCTTACCATAAGAATTTGTATACTTCAGCAGGGTTTAACCAATATTCCACAGAAACATCTTGTGGTTTTCAGTAACTGCAATTGCCAAATGTGGAGAAGGAAGAAATCCGCTGAGGAATTGAATGATTAGCAGGTTTGTCAACCCGAAGATGATGCCCAATTGGCAATGAAGTATTGTGTGGTGGGACGAATTGTTTGTTCGGTGTCTTTCTTATCTAAGACGAGTAATTCTATTACTAAAAAAAAGGAGTCGGTTGGACTGAAAGAGAGTTGAAAGACAAATTTTGCAATACGAGCCTTCAAGTAGTAAGTTGCAAGTTGAAATCGAATCAAATACAAAATCATTTTGATGTTTACTAAACGATATTAATGGAACTGTCGATAGTCTTGAGCAAATTTGCTATCGATATCACTATTGATAGCAAATTTTGAACTATCGTACATCTTTATTATAGACTTGTAAGCATGACAAAAAATAACCCTTGCCCAAACTTGCTAATGGTTTATAAACAATACTTTATAATAAATGCAAAGAAATGCCGTTTTTTAAACAAAACAACGAGAATATCCAGTTAAAATGGTATTAAACTAAATAGTAAAAATCAATAGATTATTCAAGATTTGGGACTCTAATTTCAAATTAATTCAACTTATTTAAGGATATTACTGTATTTTAGCAAAACAATTGGTTGATTAGTTTATCTAAATTTCATGTGTTTTTAAATCATATAGTACTGTACATTGATAATGCAAGGACTTATCGTAGAGGAACTCGCTTCATTTAAATGGGCAAATCAAATCTTTGTGATAGTCATTCTGCAAGATGCATTGCAACTGAAGAAGGCATCTTGCAATATGCCCTCTTCAGTTGCAGACTACACAAAAACAGGACTCTGACTCTGAGTAAAACCAAAAAGAAAATGTTTTAAAAATATTTAAAATAATGAGAAAGATCACAAAGATGGCTATCACAAATAATTATCCAAAAATGATTATCACAAAGATTTGATTTGTCCATCTAAATGAAGTGGGTATTTGTATAAGTCTTTGAATTATCAATGTACTATATGATTTAGAAACACAATGTTTAAAGGTGAGGAAGCTTCAAGTAAATTAAATTCTATATGTTTTGCTCCAGTTGTGTGGGCGCTCTTATTATTTTAACTGTTTTATTACAGATGATAACTTACTAACTATAAAAATAATTATTAAGTCTAATATTTACATTTTTATTTCAGTTTATCTGTGGATACTTTAATAAATTTTGTGACTGTGTACAAAGTTAGCCGATAAGATGCATTTAACTTGGAAAAATATTTGAAATTAAATGTGACAGTCGAAACAGACTTCATTTAATCTGAGTATAAATTTTTAATTAATGATATTTTATTTGTTAAAACCTATTGTACTGTATAATATATTAATAAATGATTTAATGTTTAATGTATATTAATGCTATAAATTATCATATAATAAAACAAAGAATAGGTTTTATGATCTGTCAATGTATTAAACTAAAATGTAAATACAATCAATCAAGTTTGTAAAAACAGCTGTCTATTTTCTGTCTGTTAAATATAACAGAGGAAAGGTAGAGCGCTCGGTCAAAAGTGACCCCATCAAGATTTTTATATTTTTGGATTCGGACCTTGAGACTTTAACAAATGTATAATAATTTGGGGGGTTTCTGAATATATGGATGTTAATGTGAGTGGAAAGAACTATTTTATTTACACATTTTAAAGGTTAATAATTCCTGTGCCTTTTGTCGAAAATTTCTGACACTTTTCAGGGAGATTTGTGTATTAGGAAGATTGATGTTGTTAAATTTTGATGGTTCAAAGTCAGTGATGGGAAGATACAGGGAGACTGAATTTTCCTGCA